CTATATAAATATCTATGCCCTTCTCTCGACCTCATATAGAGACGTCCACATGCTTGCTACTTCTTGACTCCTGAAACACTACAAACTCAAATCAACCTCTCATTCTGATAAATTATTCGTTACCATGGGTTGTGTAAATGGTTGAGAAATGATCCTCCACTGAGTGAATGGCCAGAGTTAGCAAGAAAATATATTTTCTAATGACACCTTACTGAGAAGAGGAGGATGTCTTGGCATCCACAGAGACTCAGCGTTGGTGTATGTGCAAGAGCTACTCCATCGGGTAGGCAGTATAGAGAGTTCTCTAACCTTTTCTTGTCTTCTGCAAAAGGGACTATGGGGGTACAACTTTTCTTGAGGTCTTTTTTTTTCCTTCACTGTAAGAGAGACAAGATTTTAATGTACCTGTAAGATCACTGTAAGGCAGAGATGGACATCCCATCCCTCATCCTGAGAGCAATGGGAGGAGATTTGTGCTGCAGAAGACTTGCAAGTGTCAGGAGTTCAGACAATGGGAATCCCTAGATGCACCGTTTCAGCACAGATACAAATTTCTGTGTCATGTTACTGACAACATCTGTACTTTCCACCCTTCGGGTGAGTGCGATTTAAGGACGTGCATAGCAGGGCCTTCGGGTTGTTCTCCTTTTCTCGGACGCTGGCGTTCTCAGGCACGGCCTCAGGGTGTCGCTGTTGGCCAAGGCGGAGAAGCGGCTCCACTGTCGGCTCCTCCCCGGCTCTGGCGCCCGCGCAGTGCTGCTCCGCAGGGAACAGAGAGAAAAACAGAAATCGCCCGACTTAGCCCGTCCTCCGACCGGCAACAGGAATTTCATGTTTTTATTTATCTCAGGTACTGAATCAGCTGCTCGGAAAGCCTAATTTTAAACTGTCTGCAGAACACGCTTCAGTAAAGCAGACAATGGAGGTCCGACAGACAGCGGAAGGCCGGGCACCCGCCAGGTGGGTCGCGCTGTTGGCCATGATGCTGCCGGTGTGCTGCCGGGCAGCGCCGGAACG